GATGTTGATAAAATATAATATACATTTTAATATTGCATTACTTATTATTTTGACCTATTTCTTCTAAACCAAGAATTATTAGTTAGTTTTGACTTCACCAAAAACTTATTTTTGTTGTTACACGCCAAATTAAAAAACTAATTTTGAATAATTTTAATACCTATGCAAATGATTGAAATAACTTCATATCTTTCTGTTCGTATCAAATAATATTACTGAATTACATAAGTATTCATTCAAATAAAACGAAAAATTATTAATAAGAACCAATTATTTAAGTTAAAGAATATGAAGATAAAACGAATTAATGTGTTATGAATTATTATAAAATTTTAATATTATTTAAAATCTAACCAACAAGTTTTGAATTCTAATAAATACTTTTACTAGTTATAAAAACCAAGCCGTCATTGATTGCATGTGGAAATTTCTCTTACAACCTCACATAATTTTTAAGATGAGAACTACTGGCTTGCTTGTAGATGTATTTTCCTCAAATTCATATTACTTTATAGTGAACTAATTAAAAATATATTTATCGATAAACGGTTACTTTTTGTTCCGATTACAATCGGATTACAATTAAATTCCGAATACATAATTATTATTGAGATTCAAAAAAAATTAATCGTGTCGTGTGAGCAAATCCCTCTACGTCTGAGTAATAAAGTTAGAATTATTCACATAATATAAAAATTAAATTAAATTAATTATTAATTTTTTTATTAAATTTACGTACCTAATCATTTTTAAAAGATAGACAATTTATAGCATATATCACATGGATCATTATAATTATTTTTATTTATTTTAATTAACATTCAATTTTTTTTATTCTTTGTTTGCTTATTAATAAATTATATATTAAACATTTATAACTTGTCTCTCAATTATTACTTTTATTATTGGATTAAATATAATTTTTCGATTTATTCTGATTTGGATGACAGATATTAGGACTTAAAAAATATTAATTAGTTTCAGTGTTGTCAAATTATTAAAAATTGCGTAAAAAAAAACAAGAATCAATTACTTCCTTTTTTTAAAATTAACGTCTTCTAACTCAGAATTCAAATTACCAAATAAGAATTAACAATGATACGTCTACGAATAAAGATTGAGAAAATAATCTTAAACTTGTCTATTATAAGTACCATACACCAGAGTTTCAAATGTAAAACTTTTTGTCAAGTCCTAACATAGTACCTAATTTGAAAAAGTATAAGTTCAGTGTTTTTTCCATCAGTAAATAATTTAAAAAAAATAGTTTATGAAGTTCATTAAATGTTAGACAGTGGACACCCCCCGAAAAATCACCCAAAATCAAACCGTAATCAGGAAATTCAAATAAAATATTAAGGAAAATGGACATTTTTACTCAATACTAGTTTTGAAAAAATGTATTTTGTTTTTTTGGCGTTAATTAAAAACAGATGACTGTAAATCATTGAATTTTTCAAAATAATTTAACTCTTTTTAAGATATTTATAGATATTATAAAAAAATTTCGATTTTTTTTTCAATCATTGTATTGATAAAAATATATGGCTTGGTCAAAGAGTTTAAATATTTAGTAAGAGGTTCCTAATAATTTTTTATTTTAGGTATTTAAAAATATTTAAGTTTAATACGAATAACTTCTATTTTTATAAGCACTTAAAATTTATACTTTGACAAAATACGTCAGAATTACCTACAATATACGTAGGTATTATTCTAAAAGTACGGAAATGCATTAATATATACAATAAATAAATTAAGCAATAATACAATTGAGTATTGATTATAATAAATTATAGTTCTATTTAAAATGAATACCTACTAATTATTATACTTACATATAGATATACCTAGTATATTTTGAAATGTTTAATAATTACTATAGTCATTACAGCTTACATTTTAGCTGATCTTGAATTCGTCGATATAATATGGTAAAAATCAAGTTCAATTTTATTAATATTTACAATTTAGTAACAACTTTATATTATATTGTTACAATGTTACCTATTTCTTTTAAAAACGACCGTGTTTTTTTTTTAAACTATATTATAATTTATATGCGATTTAAAATTATAAACTAGGTACAAGTATCTAGTTATTAAACCGGAATATCAAATGATTTATACTTTTATTATTTTACACATGTTTAAATATTTAAGTTTAATAAGGCCCGTGTTTAAATTATGAAGGTAAGTTTAAAAGTAAATTCATTAGAATATTCTGCCATCTTCATAGTTCATGGAACATGTTATATTGAAATAAGTAAATATAAAAATTACGTATTAAGAAATGTTGAATTGTCAGAGGTGGATACCCTGCCATGTTTCCCGCGCATCATGACGGCATAATACTATCGTTCAACGTTTAAAATACTTTATACTAGAAAGCATGAATGGTCAAGGTACTATATACCTATCTAAATCTGATTTATTCAGAATAGTGTTATGATGTGTTTGTTTATTTAAGTTGTAAACTTGTACAAAAATATTACTTATATCTATTTAAATATTATGAAGCTTTTATAAATTGTAATGTACTAATGTATTGTCTCTTGCAATGTTGTTATAATTATTTATTACGGTTCTATAAAGTTGCGTATATCGTGTCTTGAGAGATAATGACTTATGAGAAAAAGTGTCTAAAAGAGGAAGAGCTTGAGCCTTCCAAAATGTTTAAAAGCCTTTTTAAAATATTATTTAAAATTAAATTACATAAAAATAAATTGAAAGAACAATAAATAACTACCATAGAACTATGAGTATTTACGTGTATTGTATAAAGTTAAATAAATACTTATACTATTATGACAGCATACCATTCATTTTGTTTATTTTTTTATTATAGTGTGTTAAATTTATTTCAAAAGTATTAATAACATTTTTATTTAAATATCTGTTGCTAAGTACTTACTATGAGATTATAGCAATACATCACTAAATTCAAATTCCTCCAAATTTGAAGCTTTATTTGTGCTTACGTTTACGATAATTATGTATTTATACGCCACGTAGACGTAGTATTATACATATTATATTATTTTGTATAATAAATAAAATATAGTAATAAACATTGTATCTATCTTAAAATATTAATATTACTTATTGTACTTAGTATAGTTTGTAATTTTTCATAATAAAGTCAAATATATTTAAAAAAAAAAAAGAATTATTTATCTAAGATTCTAAATATTAGGTATTATAGTAATATTGAGATTAACATAAAAATATAAATTTAAGCTGATAATAAGTAATTCAGATAGTTATCGTCTGTAGTACTTTTTAAATTTATATGCATTTGATTTTTCTGATGGGTAATGTGATTAATTTAAATTGACTTTATAATATTTTTTATGTTATATAAGGGATTAGAACCGGAATCGATAATGAAATATAATAATAATGAAGACAACACACTTTGCAATGATGGTGGAAAACTGTAATGCGATTGGATAACCTTTATACAGTTCTGATTCCTAAGTATTAATTATAGGTAAAAACTTGCAGGAATCTCAATCTGTACAGGGTAATGTTTTCATCCCTTTAATTGTTATAGGGGATATAATAAGTTGTACGACAACGTTTATCGTAGGTATTTGATTTCTGAAATCAAACATCTGAAAAATGTAGTGGTGTAGGTGCATCTGTCAAACCATATCCATGTGATATTTTTTTATCGTCATACTACTTTTTGAAATAATTTTGTCGACATTGTCGACTCCTACACATGGAATTTTAATTTAAAATAGTAGGTACTATCAAAAATCGATTGATCAAGTTGCAAACAGTGCTCGAATTGGTATAGGGAACGCATGAGAACTAAGCTCCTAAACTAGCTTATGATATTAATTAGCGTTTCCATACTAAATTTTCCTAAAAGAACGCACGAGTACGCAATCGATCAATATAAAATTTAAATGACAATAAAATATTTTTTTTGTATAATATTATATTATAAGTTTTTTAATTGAATTTCCTACCTATAATGTTTTTTTTCCATTCAATACAATTAGGAAAAAAGTTTTAAGTTTGAAGTGATTAAAAGTGTAAGCATATTAACACTTAGTCAAGTATAATATACATCACAATTTATTTAATTTAAAATATGATGGTAGTAATTAAGGGGTTGTGTGGGGGGGGGAAAGCTCTCCACGGATTAGTATTAAACAAATATTCAGTTGGAACGCTGTTCGTTCAATTTCTATTTGGTTTCTATTTGGTCGATTTTAATTTACCAATTCGGGCATTGGCTGCAAATGCGCGTGTCAAATGAGTGCAGAGTTTCAATGACACGCTAAAAAATAGAAACGGAATCGCGTATGTTTTTAAATAGGTACCTAATATAAAATTTTTTTTTTTCCTTTATTATTAAATACACAATCTGTACCTTGTGGGTACAACAAGAGTATTAGCTAAAATATAAAAAAAAAAAAGCAACCGACGGACGGCTGAGTAGCGTCGGTGTCTATATGCATAGGGCATCTTCGTCCCGTACAGTTCACTATAGATACGTAGGTACAGTGCACACTATTGTAAAACTATCCACAACGACCACAATTCATATAATTTAATCATATTTACACACGACACTGAACAGTACAAATAGTACATTACACGGGCACACGCGATACAACACATATATTTTGAAGGATTAGGTATATATTATAATATTATATTATGTATAATATTATGGTATATAACGCGGGGAGAGCGCATGCGCGCGCGCGTCCGTGTGTTGTATTGCAGCAGCACGCGGAGGAATCCGATTTTGGCGCGGCTTCCCGCAGCGGCGGCGGTCACCGTCCCGTTGGTGGGGAAAGCCGGTCGGCGCGGCGGAGTTCGGGGTCGGGCCCAACAGCGTCCTTCGGTGGAAGGAAGCCGAACCGCCATTGGCCGAGGAACCGCAACGGCACACAGCAGCAGCCAGCCGATTGGCCGCACCTCGCCACCGCCGGCACACGCACACGGACTGCTTCGATTCCCCGCCGCGCGACACCCTCTCCACCCCGCCATCAGCACAGTTGGTCCGCGTAAACAAAGGCTCCACCGCCGCGTTACGAAAAACCGTGTACACCAAAAAATCCCGAGGGAACGTAATAACTTTACGACCGTCGTCGCCCCGATGCTTTTACGGGACCGTAGCAATTACGACTTTTCCAATGCTGCAGCATAACGTATTATCCGGGTACGTCGTCGAAGCTGCCGCCGCCGCCGCCGCCACATAATCATCGCGCGCGCGTGTGTGTGCATGTGTGTGAGTGTGTGCCGTGTACGTGTGCGTGTATTCGGTAATTCGGTTGTTCACTGTTCAGTGGCCAGTGCTGTTTCTTGTTTATTTCCGATCAGACATCCGCGTTTCGGCTGTAACGCTGTAACTCGCAAGCCTTTTGCCCGCCGAGCCAATCCCTCCGACGCCGATGTCATGGGACGCAATCGCTGCTGCACCGTCGTCAACGCCACCGCAGCTGACCATTGACCGGCGTTTCGTCGCCGATTTCCCGGGGTAAGTGTAATACAACTGTTCAACCGTGTGCCACAGACTCCCGCGCTACGGATACCGTGATTTTGGCATCTGGACCCGCGTTCGTCACCTCACCTCCTCCCGCTGGTGACCGGACGTGGTATTGCCGTTTCGAAAAGTCGCGTGTGTCGCTTACTCGGCAGCGTCTCATTGTCGGTTTTCGCGTTTCCCGATCAAAGTTCTACCGCCCCTCCCGTCTGTCTGACTACCCGCCTACCCATCGGTTCGTCGCGCGTGCCAGGCGGTTCACCGCGTTTCGTGCGATGGTACGGTCGCGCGCGCGCCAGCCAAAACATAACCTCTACATCCGCGTATCTCCGCGCCGCTGTTACAGCGTCTCTGGCTCTTCATCCCCTTTGTTTCCGGGACTTTTAAAATCGCATCATCTCTTCATTGTGTCACTCTGTTCGTCAAGCAATATGTGTTCGGCGTCCGCCGCGGACGCCAATCACCATCACCACGCGAATCGACTATAGTTCGCCACCGTGTAAAGCTCCCCTAAGTGCAACGATAGTGTTTGGGTCTGTTGAAGACTGAATATCTCATCCGTCGAGTCGGTAATGTCATTGTTATTATCCGAGCATTAATCCACATTGATAATTCAACAATGTCAAATTTTTTTTTTTTGCCAGGAGCTGATCTCTTTATCAAACTCATAAGTCATAATATATATAACTTTTTCACTTCCAACACATCAATTAGATTGTCTATGAGTTTGTTAATTGTCTTCCTCACTAGTTTACTATTATTTGATTTTTGTTAAAAAACTTTATGACGTAAGGTTTTTTAAATTACTGTTTGATATATGGCACATTGAAATTCTAATTAATTTTATTTCTTTGTAGACATAATGTAGGTAATTTAACTGACACTTAACAAACACACTTTGTTATTCTATTGTCAAATATTATTATTTATAATCATTTAGATATTTAAATAATTATTTTTGAACTACTACAATAGAATTTATCTTGGAAATCTGTCTAAGTGATAATTTCAGATAATTCAGACACATTGAGTAATCCATTCCTATTTTGTTTTTGTAAATAGCGAGAAAAAAATTATATCAGGTAGTTAATTATTAATTATTTTAATACCTAGGTAGTTTTATAAGTTCATATATATTTTAATTATTTTTTAAATTTACTATACTTCTATTCAACTTATCAGATTATGGTGACTGTTAGTCTACTGTATTTAACTTCACAAAAAGGTTAAACATAAGTATTTATTTAAAATGTTCATTCAAAAGTAAAAGTACTTATTCATTGTATTTTTGAATATAATATGATTTAAACTGTTTAAAATCAAAGTTTGAACTTTTTAAACTGTTAAAAGTTGTACTTATTGGTTAAAAACTTTTTAAATATTAAATATATTTGTGTACTATATAAAATAGTCAAATGTCAAATAGGTAGGTACCTATCTTATACATTTTATTTTGCATAGTAAAAGAAGGTTACTAATTAAGTACTTATATTATTTTTAAACTATAAAATAATTTAATTGCTATTGTTAAAATGCTTACAATTTATGACTGTATCTACATACATGATAGATAATATTATTTTATTAGGTATTTGTTAATTATTTTACACCTATTTTGTTCTCTTATATTAAAATTATTTTTATACCTAAATTTAAGTAAATTATTCAAATTTTAATGAATAGGCAAGTTGATATTCACTCTAGGCACCTAGTTAAATGTATATAGAATGTTTACCTTCAAATAGATCAGCCAATTCCATTTTCTAAGCACTTGAATAATTTATACTTAATAAAATTCCCAACTATTTTCATTATTTAGGAAGTTTTCTTTTGAATTTATTAATGCTTTTTAATTTGATATTTGTAAATATTAAGATTCATTCTTTATTATAATTAAATTTAAAAAAATAAGTTATCTACATTTATCAATAAATTATTTCAGGGAAGAATATATTATATCTAATTCCAGTATTATACCATTATGTAACCATTTATTTTAATTTTAATACATTGGGTAGTGTATGAAAAGATAATCTAAATAAGATAAAAAAAATTATAAATTTTGTTTTACATATAATTATTAAATATTATTTTGTTTGAATCATATTCAAGATTAAGCCTCTAGGTCTAAACACATTTTTAATACCTAATTTTGTTTTATAATTCTATTTCCTTTATATAATATTTTAGGTATGTAGGTAGTGTTTTTTTTCTTTAGGTACCTATTTATATTTTATAAAACAAATTAATTTATTAATTTATAAACAATTAAGTAGGTTGGTAAATAGGAACCTATAACTCGATAAATATATTAGGTTTTTTTTTTTTGTAAACCCCTTAATGAGGAAAACCATGTTAGCATTATATCCCCTCGAATATGTTAGGTGCTTAATAAAACTAATTTATTTGAAGATTAAAGATTAAGGAATCAAGTATATAAGATTAAATTTTATTTTTTCCTGATTATGATCTACCATCCTTAAACTCTAAAGATTTTCTCCTGATATTTTTGCATTTCTAAGGACTATCAAAGTGGCATAAGGTTTTATGTTTAATACCTATATTGTAAAAATTTAAAAAAAAAAAATTAATAATTTTATAATAAAATTTATGTATGTTTTTAGGTTTAACAGTTTTTGAAGTCAATTTATCATACAAAATGTCAAAGGCATGCAGAATGTTAAATCTGGACGAAGATGGATCTTCTACTCCAAATACAGCAATAATTAAATTAGGTGCGTGATTTTAACCTTATATTTGAATAAGTACTACAATTAATTTAATTACTGTATAAAATTCATAATTATCTATGTAGGTATTAAGTTTATCTAGTCATGTTTGGTAGGTAGGTTCTTATTTTAATATTTTATAGATAGGTTATATTCATGTTATGTAAAACTATATGTTCATAATAATATAGGTATAAATTTAATAAATAATAGCTGTTGGTTATTTAAAAATTGTTCATTCTATTTTTAAATTATTAGTTTTCATTGTTAACACCAGATTACAAATTATATGCTAATGGCTCTTTGGGGACAAAAGAAATCATTGTATTATTTTTATTTTATAATTAAGGATTTAGTATTTTACTAAACTGTGACTGACTGAATGTATGTGCTGTATTACCAATTACTATCTCTTAGTATTTAATATCTATAATTAACGTTATCTTATTTATGCAATTTCAAAAAAAAAAGTACTTAAATGTTACTTAAACTTATACAAATTAAGACAAGAACTAATTGATTTTCTAAAATGAAAACAAAATTTTGGTGATTAATGATTATCATTATTCAAGTTGAATAATTGTACATCTATATAATAACAACTTAGTTATAACTAGAGTTAGGGTTTTAATGACCTAAAAAATGAACTTAAAAATGACCATAAAATGTACTTAAACGAACAAAAAAATTTAATTTTAAAATAATTATTATTTGTTCATTTTTTATATTATACAAAATAGGTAAAAATTTGTTTTAAGTAAATTAAATAAATATATTCACATTTGAGTTGACAATTAATTATATTACATTTTCAATATCAATGGACTGTAATAGGTAATTGGGATTACCTATTCAACATATATTAAAAAAAGTTTAAACAAAACAAAAATTAGTTTAAATACACAAAATCAATTTAATATTTGTAAAAATGCAATAAAATGCAAAATAAAAATTTCAAATTCTAAACTGTTATATAACAAAAAAATTTAGATTTTGGTTAGAAATTTATAACCAAAAGAAAAAAGAAAAAGTCATCCAAATTCCTAGTTCTAGTTATAACACTAGACTTAATGGAGTTTTAGTGCATATGCCTATAACATAAGCAATTAAATTATTAATAACCATATTTATATTAAAAAAAACTGGCTAAATAATTTTTGTTTAACTTTAAAAAAAAATCCCCAAAAATTGTTTAATGAATTTAAATATTATGGAGATAACATTTATTATGTGTGGTAATAAAAACTCTTGTTGAGATGGTTTATACTAATACATTGTGCTATACATCAATATAAAAATGTCTCATACTTATTGTTGACAACTTTTGTCATCACTTGATGTTTGTCATACAATTTTTTTTTTTAACTATTCACTTTGATTTCAGTAATTCGATACAAAACAATAAAAACATATATTGTATTGAATTTTTTTTTTCTTTGTATACAGGATTTATTTTTTACACACATGCATTTAAATATATTAATATGGAGATTACAGGATTATAATAGGATTATATTATATTAAAAATGGGATAAAAAAGAGTTCCATTCAAAGTTGGTTAGGACAAAAAGACATGATGTTCAAAAATATAACAAAATCATGTTTTAAACAAGATGTAGTTTACCTTATTAAAAACTATTTAAATGACATAAGTTGATGGTCAATTTTCTAAGGTATTATTCCAACAGACATTGTTTAAGGACCATGAGCAATGTAGTGGCCATTATTTTCCATGTTCCATGTAGTTTTGATGAAAACAAAGTTAAATTGTAATAAAAATGTAATTATTTTTAGTAAAATAAGTACTTTTATTAATATTATTTATATTTTACTTGAATAATTTATTATGTATTTGTAATGTTTATAAATAATCATAATATTAAACATTATTATAAACATAATATTTATTATATTTAGTTAACGTCATACCAATGGATTTTTTTTTTTTTTGTAATAACAACCCTATTACTTAATGGTCTTAAATATATTTTCAAAAATGTTTGACTTAGTAATTTTAGTATTAATGTTATTTTTATGCCTTTATTTAATTCAAGTGTTATTGATTTTTATTCTATTTTATGATCATTTAAATACAACTAATATTTTAATTTTACAGATCCTAATATGACAACTTTCTTAACTCCATCACCATATCATTTACTTGATCATGAATATGGTATGACACCACAAAATCAAATCATTCCAAATCCACTTACATCACCATTAACAAAGTCACAAGTAAGTAATAATATAATGCATTGTAGATTTAAACATTAAAACTGTAGTAGTAATTAATTCTTATCTGAATTTTTTTTTTATTTAATAAATAAAACAAAATGAAATCAGAGTATTATTATTGAATAAAAAAGGAAAACTACCTATTTCTAGGTAATTTTAATTTTGAAATTTCATGATACACATTTATGTATATTTAATAAGTATTAAACTATTTCATGTATAAAATATGGTCAATATTGCTCATAATTAATTAATTAAATATATAATAACTTATAAGTAATTTAAATTATCTACTGTGATTATATATTGTGTTATTAATTTTAAGTTAAATAAAATATTTTTGGGTTATCAAAGTTTTTACTTCTTTATCTACATAAATAAATACCTTGTTTAATTTTTATAATATAGTTTTAATGTAGATTAACTTAAAAATTTAAAATGTATACATTTTATTTTAATATACATTGAATAACAATAAAAAAATAAATAATTATGACAGAAATCATTGAAAAAGTTTGGTAGAAGCTACGAAATGCCTGCAAGACGTGTAAAGCTAACATATTTAATTTATTACTAGTCATTAAACTCAAGAAAATAGTTTAAAACATCTATTTTATTGAAGTAAAATTGCATTAATAACTTATACTATGATCATTATTTGAAATCATAAACTAATATTTAAGATTTTTTTTGATTTTATTTGTGCAACTATAATAGATTTGTTAATTTAACTAACTTTTATTCTATGAAAATATTAAGTACCTATAAGTTTATAATATAAAAAAATACATACAAGTTATAATGTAGTTAAATCCAAGTTATTTATTATTTTTTATAATTTTTTCTGGGGGGGTCGAGACCCAGGGACCCCCTCCCCCTGTAAATACGCTACTGATTATATTATTATTTTTACATTAAACATTTATTTAATATTTATATCTAGTTTTATTATAACAAGTTTGTACAGAAACAAGGTTTACTTTTACCTTAAAAATGTGTTGCATACAATAAGTAAATTACACGAGTGTTTAAAATATTTAAGGAAGTAAATCGTTGGCCTTTATTTATTTTATTTTACACTTATTTCCTTGTATATTTTAACATTTTAACTCGTATTGTTATTTATTGAAGTATCTTTTATTTAAGGGTGTAAAACGAAGATTAAATTTAGAATCACTCAATTTTGGATATGATGATGTTACACCTTTGACAGCTAAGCGAATGAGAAAATGGTCCAGTTCAAGTGCTGGTAGTGAACCTAGTCCTGCTCAAAATGGTTAGAAGAAGAATGTTTAGATTTTGATTTATTTAAATGTATACTTAATTATTATAAGTAATAAATCTACAATGTTCATTATTTTAGTAGCAGGAAAGAAGTGTTCAGAACGTCCAACACGTTATGATACCTCTTTGGGCTTGTTAACCAAAAAATTTATTGGTTTACTTGAAAATTCTACAGATGGTGTTGTTGATTTAAATATAGCATCAGAAAAGTTAGATGTACAAAAACGAAGAATATATGACATTACCAATGTTTTAGAAGGTATCGGAATTTTGGAAAAAAAATCCAAAAACAATATTCAATGGAAGTAAGTTAATAAAAAAAAATATTTATTAACAAATATGGAAATATGTGCTTATACACTTAGAAATAGGGTTATATTTATGAACCAAACAACTTTTTTAGAGGTGGAAATGTATATGGGTCAGACAAGAATAATGTTCAACAAGACTTAGAAAAAATGAAAGCCAAAGAAGAAGAATTAGATAATTTGATTTTAAATACTGGTAAGATTAAAATAATTTTAACGGTATTTACATTTTTATAATTATTATTAATTATTGAGTTTTTTAAGCATTTGTATGAAAATATCGTTGACTTTTAGATATTAATTTAAAACTAGTTAAATTATTTTATCAATATATTTACAAAGTATCTTGAACTTAGATTATTAGAATGTTTTATTTTCATAATTTTAATTTTATACCTATGATAAAATATTTTATATTAAAATTTTTTTTATAGAACGAGATATCAAACAATTGACAGAAGATAAAAGATTTGGATATGTAACTTATCAAGATATTAGGTCTATTGAATCATTCAGAGAAAAGACTGTTTTGGTTGTTAAAGCCCCTCCAGAAACTGAATTGCAAGTACCTCAAGATCACACTGATGGAGATGTAAGTATAAATACATTGAATACATAGGAATGTTTTGGTAATTAATATTTAGAATATACTCAATATTTTTTTTAAATGTATCTCAAATAACAAACTTGTTACCTCTCCTTAGTTATCAAATGTCATAAAAAAATATTAATAATAACAATATATTTGTATATACTGTAAATATTTTCAATCGGCAATATTAATACATCAATAATATTTATGATAATGTATGGCTCTTTAGTGAACAGTATTGGTGGTGTAACCTTAGAATAAACTAATATATTTGTCTACCATTTACCGTTCATTTTCCAATAAAACTTCCTGTGAATATATAATTTATATTAAAATGTTAATTTTTTTCATAGCAAAAGATGTATATGAAAAGTAACACTGGTGAAATAGAAGTGTTCTTATGTCCTGAGTATAACACCAATACAACTTCACACCAACCACAAAGTCAATTAAGGCCGTATACATCTCAGGTTAGTGTTGTAATTAATGTTTAATGTGCATAGGAATTAATTTTTAAATTTTTCTAGTGTGTCAAAAATTCATCAATTGGCAATACGGTTATAAAATCGCCTCAAAAGTTATCAGTTATTCAACAGTCACCAACTTATTTGTCACACAAATATAAAATGGAAATCATTCAATCAGACACTGTAGAAAATGTAGAAAATACAACAATAAGAAAATTCAAGGAAGAGCCGTTGGAAGATCAGCAGTATATACCCAGTACAAGTGGTTCCGGTATGCAAATTATTACACATATACCACGTTACGTTTTACACGCACATCCTGGTTTATGCATGATATGGCCATGAAGTTCAAAACTGTTACTGTTGCTCGCTTATAATTTCTTCTACTTTTTTATTTAGTTCATACTAATATTTATTTAATCTTCTTAATTCAATACTAGCTTTTAAATTTGGTTTCCATTTTCTTCTTAACTATTTAAATGATAATAGTACGATGCACGATGGAAATCTCATTCCAAATGCATGATTGTTGATCATTGTTAATTGGTTTACCAGTAGTTAATTTTGTTATGTTTTTGTTTTTTTCATTGATAATCATTTACAACTTTATTTACAATAATATTATTATATATAATACTTAATTCTGTCATTTGTAATGTTTATTGAAAACATGTTATACCTAAACTATACCTTTTTAATGTAAAATATTAAATAGAACTTATCATACAATTTGTTGTACATTCTCAATAATTAGTAGCATTTAACTTGATTGATTGATTGCTAGTCAATCAAATATTGTAGATAACAAAAGGTGGCAATATTGATAATACATTTTAGATAAATGATATTTATATATATATAATGTTATAATACTATTTTATATTTAGTTCATCGATATATTCTAAGCATTTGTTTGGCTTATAAATGTGTGTGTGTGTGTATATATATATAATACTTATACACATATATTTATGCAAGATAAAGTAAACTTTTTTCTTTAAAATACAAAATAATAATATTGCCACCTTTAAAAATGTTTCCATTAATTTTTACCTTTTATTGCCAGTAAAATCATATTATTATTTTTTTTTTTTTGGTAGTAAATATTTATTTTATTTATTTATTTTTTTTTTTTTTTTTGTATTTAACTTGTGGGTTAATTTCAGACTTAAATATTAACAAAATAAAAATTTGTTTATTTGAATGTATTTTAGATTTTATAATAATGTTCTTATAGATAAATCATATTAAAAAAATCTCAATAATACTTAAAAAGTAATAAAATATCATTTTGTTGTACAAAGTTTTTATTTTATTATTAATAATACTAAAAAATTTATTTTATTTTATTTTTGCTTATTTGTTATATTACCTAACCTTTTCTTGTATTATATACTTTTTGCTTTTTTAATCTTACAATAATACTATAACCTTGTTAAAAAAAATTTTGGGAAGCAAAATTATACCGTGTACTGTGTAGTTATATTTTTGCTCATCTACATTCCCCGAAAATAATAAAAATTCGCCATTGCTTCGGGTATACTGCTGTTGGGAAAAAACAGTCATGTCAGTCGTCCGCTGAATTTTACGAGTGCCGCATGTAATGTATGTCTTGTAGCACCATGGAATTCAGCTGTCGCCTGGTGTGTTATCTGCTTTTGACTTACAATCGGCGCTTCTTCATCACAAACACACATTATGTTGTGTGTAACATGAAATATTGTATATAGCTAAAAATTAATGATGGATGTTGATGTGCATCTACTTTTAATTTGAATTATGGTCCAATGAAGCAGCTAATGAAAATTTTAATAATTGTGTATGTTAATATTAGCTTTATATTAAAATGTTAAACATTAACATATTAATACTATGTTCATGAGGATATTTACTATTTATATAAATACATCTTTCATAAATTATAAGTAATATGTACTCATAAATGTGTAATGCTTTTTTTTTTTTATCAAACAATATTATTTCGTCTTGATATTTGTTAAAATTATAGAAACAAATTTGTTTCTCTTTTCAATAGTTAAATTGTAATTATGTATTTATATTTGGATTTCAATGAAAAAAGTGTTTGTCGTAGTTTAGCATTTTCTTAACATTTTTATGCTCTTTCATAATTGCATGAAATTTGTTGCTTTTATTGAATAATTTTTTTGTAATTTGTTGTCATATTTTGTTGTATTTTTTTTAGCTAAAGATACATTTGAAATATCTTGCGAACCTTTCTTGATGCTTGAACCTCCAAATGAAGATGACTACAACTACTGTCTGGATTCTGATGAAGGCCTTGGTGACTTGTTTGGTTTCAGGTTATAAATAGGCTAAAACAATAATTCTTAGTATATATAAATGTGTGTATTATTTTCTAAATTGTAAGTCTCTTCATTTTTCCTCCCTTGTATAACAATTCTTTTATTTACTTACCACTTGGTATTTATGTTAAATTAAAGTAATTTTTTATTTAATTTTTTTTTTTTTAAACTGAATTTTAGTTAATCCCAAATTAAATTTTTTAATATAACTATTATTTAAAAACCATTGATTTTATTACATATTATGTTTTTATTTTAGTTTCCAATTTTATTTTATTTTTTGGACATAATTATTTTGATATCAAGGTACAAAAAAAAGTAATTTCAAATATTATTTATTAGAAATCAAAAATTCAGTTATGAAAATGTGTTCAAATTATTTATTTTGTTTAACCAATTTTATTTCTGTTTTATGTTTTCGTTCATGTGCAATTTTTAGTTGTTTATTTACTAGTTATTTGAAACTGCTAAATTTATGCTATTTTTAAAAGAGACAAAACTATATTTTATGCTATTTAGTGCCTTTAATTTGTTAAAAATAAATTTTGAGCTTTCCCTTAAAACAAAACTGTTGTACAAGGAATGGGTATGCTCGACATTCAGAACTGAAACACACCATGTATTATAAAATCAATAATTTCTGTATATTAAAATGTCTAAAATATAAATTGTTTATTTTATTACTTTTAGATTTAGAATTTACCTATAGTGATTAAGTAAAAATTAGAATTATTATTCCAAAATTAATAATTATGTAAATTTACCTTTATGTAAGTACTCAAATCTGTTTTTTTTTTTTTATATATATATATATATATATATATACATACGCTTGTATGTTGAGACAATGTATTTTTTCCTCTTCATGATTTATACCTAATCCGGCGATCTCAATCAAATAATACACTACGTTATACCTGATGTCCATTTTGGATTAAAATTTACTTTAACAACACTACAAGTCAGTTTCTCATCATATATAAATGTGGCGTAGTATGTGTAACAAAACCATTATTGCAATGTTCTTACATAGTTGTCAAATTTAGTTATTCTAAATCAACCAATTTTATAGTTAATTATAAATTATTTTGAATGAATAAACATTATATAGTACTGTTATATCAGTGACTCGACCATTTTGAAAGTGATGACTCTAAATTGAAAATTTTATTTTTTGAAACATCTTTAAATAATATGTTGGCAAACCATAATAATTAACAACTGATCACCAAAGGGATTATCACTGCTCCCTAATTTGAGAATCACTCTTGTACAACATAATTTTCAGTTCACTTTTTAATAGTTTTATAGTAAATCTATTCTGTAATCAATAAAATTGGTCTTAGTTTCTGTATTAATTAAATATTTGTCCAACTGCATTTTACCGCGCACGTTTAGCTAATTAATCATAAATTGCTTTAATCTAAATTTCACATCCTCCTTAAATCTTATTGTTACATATATTTTCTGCGAATTAATAACTGAAATATTTGAAGGAATAATTATTTTTTTTAAATTTCAGATAATATCTTTGATAAATCTTAACCTTTTTTTGGTATTTTTCTTCTGTATTATTATTATTACTATTATTATTATTATTATTATTATTTTTTAGGACATTAACATGAAAATGTAATTTATGTATTTATTATTATTATTTTAGTGTAATTATTAATATACAATAGACATTTTTAATTTACAGTTTTATTTTAATAAATTTAAAACAAAATTATTGTCTAATTTTTACTAACCTACTAAAGTCACTGGTTATTAAATAGATGTTGATGAATTTTAAATTCAAAAAATTAAGTTTTAATACCTATGAAGAGTTTGTATATCTATATATAAATTTATATTTAACATTATATTTGTGGACCATTATTATAAAACAGAGGTTCCCAAACTTTGTGCCGTGGTGTGTTGTCTGGGGGGAGCCGTGGTTTTCTACTTCAAATTTATGTGAAGTTGGGTTTTCGGCGGTCGCTGTGATAAAAAGCAAATATTGGTCAAAAACCAATGTGGGAAAGGAAATTGAGTAGCAGTATCAAGTTTGATCCCAAGATTTGAAAAACTATACAGTGATGTCCAGGCTCATCCATCTCACTAATTCAATTGTTTTCTAAAAATAAACTAAGTCTAATTTACTTTATCTAATAAAATTAAAATTAAATATTTCAGTGTTTAATTGTATAAAATAAATATTTCCATATTATCTATTGAAGATTAAACATGTTTGTTATTTTATCTATTTTATTTTTAAAAAAAAGTCGTAAATTTTATTAAGGGCGTTACGAGTAGGAAAGATTTGGGAACCTCTGCTGTATAACATGGGTGTCTAACTTGTGGTTCTCATCATTGTCAAATGCGGCTCACGTCTTATTTATAAAAACAAAATTTACCTAATATTGTTATAAATTTTAATTTATTAGGTATTAGCTTATAAAGAATGTTTAAATTATATAAAATGATTAAAATGTGTATAAACATTTTGGCTCTTAATATTGTATTTACCTATGTGACCCGCGAACCTATCCATGTTGGCCACCCCTGCTTTCTTTATAGGTATATTACTTATAAATTCAAATAAATACATCAATTTTGGCATTTAGGTTCTTTGTATAACTGAATCTTTTTTATTTCATTCTTGACGTTCTTATTGTTTTTAAATTGTTACAATAATTAACTTACCTATAGTAGAAAATTTATTATTGAATTAGCGGTGAGCTCAGAGAAGCTTTGTAGAATTTTTAATGATTATTCAAATTTTCTTCAATATAAATAAGTACCTATATAGTTCTTCAGATAATTTTATTTTTTTTTAATATTTATAGGTACTGTTTATATATCCGTAATCCGTAAAAGTACAATATATTTAGGTTAAATTAATGGCACATTTGAGTTTTTGTCAGAGAGAGATAAAAATGGACACAAGAAATGTAATTATCTTACTATGTTCGACAAAAAAAATAAATGTGCCGTTAAAGTATAAAATATTTAATTTTAAGCAATAAATAAATTTGAGATCTATAAAGTGTGTGTTTCTAAATATTTTCAAAGAACGATTAGTCCATTGAATTATTGCGTTTTACTAATCTAATTCCTAGATATTGCTAGCATTAGTCATCTATGCGGACTGCGATAAATACAATAATATTAACATTCTGGGTTTACTTAAATAATAATAATTAGATTATTATTTTTTGTTAATTGGCAATTTACACGATCGGCCACGATTTTGACTACGAGAATCGCGGAAACCACTTACATTCTTTAGCAGCGTGATTCTCAACCGGTGTGTCACGAAGTAAGTCCAAATGTGTCGCGTGAAATACTAATATTAAATGTTACAAAGTTTTTAAACAATTAATGAGCAAAAAAAAAGTTTTTTTTATATTGTACCTATAGATTGCCTGGGTAAGTGTGTCGTCATTTGCGTGGATCTAAATTAGGATGTCGTTATACAAAAAAGGTTGAGAATCATTGCTCTAGGGAAAATTACAAACTCCCACGAAGCCAAACCCACATGTATGAGAGTCTGCCTATGGAGGTGGGTAATCCTGACTTGGCGAAGACCCCGGGCGACTTCCAATACCATGCTACTTTTCATAATAATTGTCATCGGTTGAACATAATTCGCCGGCCAGTTCTACGGCAATTTAAATTAAGGGGCTTAAATGGTAATTAGATCACGATGACATCTAATATGGTTATAAAATTGAGACACATCGGGGACCACTTGCAAGCTCAAATTTAAAAATCGATGCCCTACCCAATTGCATATAAACAAACGTGGTACATCGCCTCAGCTCGATGATCTTTCAAATGTGTTTATAATGAAAGTAAATTTTACTGAGTGTTAGTGAACTTATTTATTATTCATGTCTACCCTGCACGCATGGGTCTATCCACGACCCTAACACGTTATCTTATCTTATCCATTTTGACCGCCGTCAACCGTGAAACTTCAGTGAAGATATCGTATAGCGGCTGGCTATCCTGCAGTCGGGCAATCCCACTCCTCTAGCTGTGATTTCGCTAAACAAGTACGTTCCTGTAGACACTAGACAGCAGTGTAGCGATCAATAGGTACTTGCAATGATTACATTTTAGCTCATTTCGATTTCGTTCACTGAGAGAACGTGATTCCGAATTAACCGGAACGTGGTAAATACCATGGGATTTTTGACGTTTCACATCGCAAAAACCAAAATCCTCACTCATCAGCACCAGTCGCCAAGTACAATTTCGTTTTTCATTCAAAAAATGAAATATGGTATGTTACGTTCATCCGATATTTTGTTCTCAGCAAACCTATGGTATACCATAGCCTATGTTATTTCCGAAGTCGTAAGAAACAATTAAAAAAAACATCGTCAAATTGTTCCGTTAGTTTATGAGCTGATTTCGATCAAACAAAAATACAGAGAATTTTACATACTATTAAAGGTTTAAAATATGGGCATGTATAATACGATAAAATCCCAAGTCTGGAAATATAAATTCGATAACGTTGTGTTTACACCGTTTACAACCGTGACGCGGTCCCGCGTAATATCCGTTTGAATTCAAACGGCCTTTACGCGGAAAACCGCGAAATGACTTCTCTATCCAACCGCCAGCCGACGACGGACGACGCCGACGCACGATAACGTCGTCGGAACGTCTTGACCGCCGATACCGCGAAACGGTCCGACGACCGGAGTTAGTCTTTTCACCACACCCGTACGCGGTTTTTTTAACCTCCGGGTATTTTTTATTTTCGCGATCTGTGTATTGCTCATGTTTCTATGGTTACAACTGTGAAACCTAATCGTGTTCGTCGCGAAAATCAACATTGTGTTTTTTTTTTGGTTAATTTGTACCTAATAAACCGACGGATATCGTAATTTATCAAGTTTAAATTTGCATTGCTTTATTTTTGTCACCTTACAACTTCCCGCCGTTCCATTGCCACCCCCAGGTACACATCAACCGCAGTAGACTATACAGTAATTTGCAATTTCGAGTGTAGTTAATTTTTATCGTTTCTTCTTTATAAGTCCTTATTTTATTTTGTTTTCCGATCAAAATTCACTATACCAATAAATAAATGTCAAACAATTTATATAAAAACATTATTTTATAAACCATATTTTATATCGAATCCGAACTATAATAATGTATATACTTCGTTTGTGTTTAGGTTTTTCGGCATGTGCAACAAGATCTTTGGTGCCACCTTTATTCCTAACTCCAAAATTTTGTTGACTAAAATATTTTTAGGACTAAGTAATGATTGTTGATCAAAGATGGGACCATCCCAAGGCGGTGATGTTACAATGCAATTACAATGAAAACAAAAGAAAATAAGGACTTATAAAGAAGAAACGATAAAAATTAACTACACTCGAAATTGCAAATTACTGTATTTCAATTCACTAAAAGTAAGTCATAGGTGTACCTATTTTATTTTGGTAATTGATAACGAAAATATAAACTATGATTAATAATAAAAACTACATTTATATAATATATTTAATATATTATAAATATAATTCATGTATAAAAACTACATTTATATTACATAATATTATTGAAACGTATTCATCATACTTATTTACATTTTTTAGGATAATGGAAAAGAATATACAAATTATTCTATCAAAAATTTCAATCAATGTAAGTCGAAATAAGCGCATACCTTTAAAATTATTATACAATTGCAATGGATCTGTGTATAGGAACCTATGACTTCCTATCATGCAATCTGTGGCTGTTTAGAAAATGCTTCAATATAAATAATGTTATAAATTTTATAGTAATAAATAATTTTTTGAATTGATACGATATTTATTTCTGGTAAAAATAAAACAATATTTTATCTATGGCATGCGGATCGGGAACTTTTTTATTGTGACTTTACAGTATTTATTAACCTTATCGCACAATTAGTTTTATTATGTATATTACTATATAATATATATTAAGGGTGGCCAGCTAAAACAGACTTAGAGCCGCTCAATGTATTAATAAATTATGGAAGAGCCAAAATGAAAATAAAATTTTACATTAATGTATCTTTATGATTATCGTAAAAAAGATAATAATTATATATCAATAATATAATAAAATGTATAATATATGAAATAACATAATATTATATTAATTAATTATTAAAAATAAAAATAAATACACATTTAAATATTACATTAAAAACACTACTTTTTTTGTAAATTTTTTCTATAGATTGAAGTTTAATATAGTATTATTTTTCTTCAAATACATAAATTTATAAATTTATATTGAAAATAGTATTTTAGTCGATACATGAGCATAGTCCTCGCCAGGTCAATTCAATCAATCCGACGTAATTCGTACATCGTATGTTTAAAAAATAAAGTCATTTAAACTTATGCTGCTCTTTGGACATTTTGGCGTAGCTAGTAACTTTAAAAAAAAAATGTCTCTTTCCTACGAAAAGGTACCTGACCCCTCTGATATAGTGAGAGATTTTGATAAACCACAATGCTCAATTTATTATGAGTAATGTAAATTTTTACCGGGCAATGTATTACCCTGCCTGGACAAATTAGTATTTCAATGTATTGCCCAAAAAACACCGAGCAACGTATCACGTTGCTTAATAATCCACTTTGCCCGTAACATAACATAATATATATTCACTTTTGGTTATTGTTTTAAACAGCTTATAATAAACTTGATATTTTTAACTTTACGATTGACCCATTAAAATTTTTTTTGCCATAATATTAGTATACAAAATACACTTAAAATTGTCGTTTTCTGCGGAACATGGTGCTTTTTCTCTGATAAGTCTGATGCGCTATATGTATAATAACTATTTAAGTAGAATTGTAATAATAGGATTAATGAATATTTGTATCTTTGTAATAAATGCGTCTATGCATCAATATCGTATACCCGAAGCGCCGTACCATACTTTTAATGTGCATATCTTCTTTTATCATTTTCAATACAATATATTCACAATAACATTAGGTACCAAACTACTATTTTAAATTTCATAAAAACCACATTCATACTTAAAGCGATATAAATAATATAAGTATGAAGTTTAGAAATCATATTTTATCAATATAGATAATTAATAAAATCGTTTTTATACTTTATACTTTATTTACAGCTATTTTTTAAAACACTAAATTATTGAACATTATCGATATTATAATTTAACAGTTAACAACATTCAATTGATAATTAACTAGATCGAATGTCTAATGAATATTTGTACATAATTGCCTTCTGTAATATACTATATTATTCTTAAAAGAACAGGCGTTTTTTTATTCAACCTTTTTGTGACGACATTATTTAACATTTTTCCAATTTTTTTTCACGGTGTTGAACCAAATATTCCTACAAGTGATCTATTATTCACAATTTAATATTATTCGTCATTATAGTCATTTTAAGAAACCACAAACTACATATGGGTGAGTATAAACTTATATCTAAAATATAAATACACTTTATTTTTGTAAAATATATTTGCGTTTATGGCTTCTTAAAAAGATATATTTTTTTTTTTTTGCACTTATGGAATATTTATTTTTGCGCTTGAATTATGTTTTGCGCTAATGAGTTACAGTCAAAAAATTTAATTAAAAATGAACTACATCGGAGTATTAAGCAAAAACGTGTTTACCAATTAATCGGCGACCAATTATTATTGTTTCTTTAATTACAATCATGACTTATAAATTATATAATATAGAGAATTAAGAATACAGTTATTTTCGCCTGTAAAAAGAAACGTACAATGAGAATGCGTCGAATCAGGTCAAAAGATGGTAAATGGTCGTGTTAATGCTCCCTCTTATCTTTCATAGATCAATTTCAAAATTTTAAAGTTAGCTCATACCTGAATTCCTATCCTGTCCTTGGTGTAGCACTTTAATTTGATTTTAAAATTGATTAGTCATTCATTACCGCATGGTAGTAGTTTTTATTGTAACACATCTTCATTTAAGACAATTTTTTGAAAATTTAATGATTCATCTAAAGACTGAAAGTAACCGATTTTTAATATGTTTATCCTTAATCCTCAGTTTAACTGATCTATTAAAGGGTGATCCATGTTTAAAAACTTCTGACATTTTTTCAATGACACAAAAAACGTATCTATCACATGGTTTATTTCATACATATATAATACCTAACATTGTAGATTAAAGGCAGTAATTGAAACTAAATCAAAAAATTATTAATAAATGAGTGAGTATAAAAATACAATAGATAATAATTCATAATTTTGTGAATATAAATTTTAATGAATACAACAACAAAAAATATGTTGCAATCGATAACAATACATTTTAACTGATTTAGGAGTAGATGATATCTTTTTGTTGTAATTAAAAATATATACACAAAAGAAGAATAGGCGTATTATATTAATTGAAATTATTTTTAAAAAAAAACCCTGTTGAAATGGCTATATTCACGAACGAAATGATTAAGTGCGTTTCGTGCACGCGCGTACTTACGAAACAGACCCATAACACATCGACGAGACACTGATAAAATCGAACAGAAATAAGTGTTGAAATTAATAACCGTCGTACACACGTGTTTGCGATGTTTCGATTTCTGATCAATTGAGTGACACGTCGGCGTGACGGACAATGATAATGATAATGTGTTGTATGTATTATAGGACATGTTACGCATTTATGACGATTAAAATAATAACACAAAATACAGTTAATATAGTCAATATAGAGTTGCGGTGGTTTTGTCGACGAGTGATTACAAACGTCCGGAAATTCTCGTCTCCGCCGCGCACCTTTGTAACACATGCTATTATATCATCGCACTACGCCAGTACACTGTACACATGCAATATTATACAATAATTATATTTTTGTTTCAGTGCGTAGAACACCCACAATAATATTGAGATAATAAAAACGGTCGGTTAATCACGGACGTCCCTCCCATTTAATACTGCAGGATTGTTATGTACGCGTGTGTGTTCACAAATGGCAACCGCTAGCTGTGTGGTTGTGCGTTGTGAAGATTTATATGAATATATACTATATGGATCGATATCATGCACGAACGTGGAAGACGTTGTAGACGGGCGATTTCCTGACACGGAATATTATTCAGTCAGCGCGGTTTTTATGCGATTATTGAAATTCGTATTCATTGAGTATGACACACGGTTCTTATTATTTTGTGACGAATTGGATACGATCCTTTTTATAACTGATTATTATATCAACGGATTAATGATAGTTTTTTCGTGTATTTGGAAAATCATCCACAGATGATTGTCTATCTGTTGAATATTTGTTGAAAAATCAAAATCGAAAACTTTTATGATAACGTCACAGGGCATTTTGTAGATATGTATACTGAGTGTCCGTTTGGACACTCGGTATCTAATGAAATGATTCGCCTATCACTGAGTGTCCTGACGTCCTGCTGTGTATCTAAACGATTCAGAAACAATATAATAGTTAAGGTTATGGCCGTTATAGGCTTGATTTCAATTGAAATCACTTTATTACCGCTGATTATACCGTTGTGTCCTATCCATGTTTGTAAGATCTATAATTATTACAAGGACTAAGACATAAATATCTACTTGATAATTAATAAAGCTTACTATTTTAATTCATTGAATTTAGTTAGCTTTTTGTTTGAAAGTAGATATCCATTAAATAATCATTAAAAAATTCTCTGCAACGTCATAACTAGGGCTAGGATTTTGATGCAAAGGAATCTTTTTTTTTGATGTCTTGAAACGTTGGTCCGTAAGTATAAAATGTATTTTGGGTGATACTGATTATTTTAAAGAAATTTTTTTGTTGCATTTTTTGACATAATTATTCTTAGCTGAAGTTTTTGAAAATTTTAGTAAATTTTCTTAGTTTTTAGAGGATTTTTCACAATTTTTTTATAAAATTAACGAATATTGTTGCGATTAACAAGAGACTTTCGGTAAACTGCTGACGATACGAAATATAAAATATATAGCACGATAATATTTATCGTCGATAACAATTTTTTTTTTTAAATTATTATTTTAGAATGGATGACTAAGAAAACAGAATTACAACAGAACTAAACAATAGTACTAATCATTAAAAAATTTTTTTCAATTTAAAGCTATAAAATAAATATAATTTAAATGCATTTTTTAAGTATTTTTAGGACCTTAAAATCTCAGCTTTAGTCATATCGAAAAATTAATAATACGTATTTAGTTCATTTACTACATAATAATTTCTTTATTTGTGAATACTACCCGCAAAAAAATGTTTGTTCACTTGTCCGATTGAAAGTTAATTTCAGTCGATGAACGAAAACAGAGACGATATTTAAATGCAACAATCCCGTAAACCAAGAAAAAGTTTTTATTTTATTTTTTTTTTTGTAAAACATAAAGTAAAAGTTTATAAGTATTAATAATATTATCTTAAAAAGTAGAGTTGAAAATTTTAATAATAATTATGCCTTTACTAAAATTAAAATAGAGCGATAAATATATTGAATTTATAATGATATTTATTTATTTTTGTGTCTGAAAAAAAATTATTTTTATAATGAAAAAAAAATGTTTAGATTTTCAACTTCAAGTGTGGCGTTTGATAACAAATTGAATCTAATTTGTACTTTAAAGAGATCAAAATTCCTACAAATTTTCAAATTTTCAAAGAAATCGAAAAAATAGGTATTTTTGTATAAAACTATTTTTATTTTTTTTTACAAAATTAATTTTGTTTGTTTAACCTAATTTAAAAATGAATAACCTTAGATACTTGAAATTTTCAACAAATATTTATATTTGAATTTCATTCACATGGTATAGTTTTCTAATATATTGATTTTTTTTTTAAGCTATTTACAAACATTTTTAAATTTTTTCAATAAATGAAAAAAATGATATTTCTTGAAAATTTAATATAAGACCATAGTATTCTACAATAAGTTGTTATTATTTTGCTATAAGACTATTATGAATACGTATAAACAATTTTTTTAAATTT